GATGATGATGATGATGATGATGATGATGTTGCTGACGGTGAACATGAAGATGACAATTATAGTAATGATAATGATGATTATGATGATGATGATGCTGATGATGATGATGATGCTGATGCTGATGCTGATGCTGGTGATGACGACGAGGACGAGGACGAGCACGAGGAGGAGGAGGAGCACAACGACGACAAGGACGATGACGACGAAGCTCCGAAACCAAAAAAAGCCGGTCAAAAGCCGTATCCAAACCTTTTAAAACTCTACTACATTTCACAACCCTGCCATGTAAACTTCCAACCCCCTGTAAGACCAATCAACAACAATGACTAAACCCTGAACCCTAAACCCTACACCCTAAACCCCGAACCCTAAACCCTAAATCCTACACTACTAAACCCTAAACCCTGAAACCTAAATCCCTAAACCCTACTAAACCCGACCACCCAGTGGAGCCCAAAAAGTCCTGGAGACGCATCTCGCTCCGCTCTAGGAGCTCTGCCACCGGTCGACCCATCTGAAAAGCGGAGATTAGAAATGTTAACCTAGACTGTCTGGTGCTTAGTAGGGAATGGGGGAATGGGTTAGGGACTACTATAAGGGACCTTAAGGGACTATCATACGGATCCATTCCCCCATTCCCTACTAAGCACCAGACAGTAGAGGCTCCATATATTCTGCTATTGTGGAAATTAAGCCCTTAAAACCATAAAAAGGATGGTCTTTTGGGACCGAATTCCATAATGGTAGTCTATTTGGAGCCTGTGGTTAATGCAGCTTTTCCACTGGCTTTACAGGGCGTTTCTACTGCGTTGTCAGGTTTCGGCGTTTTTGGGCTGAGCTGGTGGGCTTTAGAAGGGCTTTACACCAAACTTCTAAACGCATTTTATGAAGTTTACTTTAGAGAAATGTAGAGCCTTTCTAAGGCCCACCAGCTCGTATCGGGCTCGGTGCTTCCATGCAGGGCACAGCTAAGGTTGAAAGTCTCAGGGTTTAGGCTCTGGGCTCTGGGGTCTGTTTGGGGGTTTGTTTCCGGTCTTTTCAGGGGTTGAGGGTTGAGGGTTGCGGGAACCTCTAAACCCTGATTTTTCTGGCTTAGAGATTTAGGGATATCAATACCCGATGAGATATGTTCAACATCATATTCTTCTAAGGGGAAAAAGACCTAGGAAACTTGTTGTCGTCAATCAACCACGGCGTCACAGCTGCCGAAGCGTTCCGCTTTGCCGATGACGTGCATCCTAGTCTTGCTGGAGGACTTTTAACCTACTTATTCAATATCCTAAGGAAACAAAGGTGAACCTTTGGGCTCGTAAAGGGATTTTAATACCCCAAGAAGGTTAAAGACTACCTACCCTACTACTAGGTTAACATTCATGACCACTTCCAATTGCAGCAAGAGTCTTTGCAGGTGTAATGATCGCAGAGCAGCAGCAGGACCCGCAGAAGTTGTAGTCGTAGTCGTAGTAGTGGTAGCAGTAGTAGTTGTCGTTGTCGTCGTCGTCGTAGTAGTAACTGTAGCAGCTCCGAGTGGTGCTGCTTTAGGGTTCCACCCCCAAGACCCACAGCCCTACGCCAAGCAACCCACCCCCCCCCTCCACCCTAGACCCTAAACCCTAAACCCTAAACCCTAAACGCAGGTCTCCGGTAGTCCAAGCTCCTTACTTGAGCCATCGCCATGTGTCCCGATTCATAAAGACCCAAACACTCCTGTTTTTAAGGGCCGTGACCTTAACGAGAGAACTCATGATTAGGGTTTAGGGTTTAGGGTTTAGGGTCCCCCCCCCACAGAAACCTTACGAAACACTGCAAGGAATCCGATGAAATGGACCTTGCCGACAGCCCCCAAAACCCCAAAACCCCAGAACCCCGAAACCCCGAAACCCGAAAAACTCGAAGGCCCGGAGACCCTGGCTCAAACACCTGAAGCCCCAAACACCCGAAAACCTCGGAGACCCTGAGACCGAATGTAGGGCCTTAAAAATTCGGGTTTAGGGGTTTAGGGTTTAGGGTTCAGGGTTCCATAACGTAGAGGCCTTCATAATTAGCAAAGGGTTTTGGGGTAGATTATCCTATAAGTATAACTCAAGGAACCCCCAACATGGTGTAGGTAATCATTACGGCCCCTCGATTACTCCAGAACGCTGATAGATCCCTTACTCTCGAACCCTCGAAGGAACCCGTTGCGGGCTCGATGGCTCTATGACCGGCTTTTCCAAGCCCTCCAAACCCTCAACCCCAAAACAGCGGGGGAACGAACTGAAAAACCCAGAAACCTAAACCCCTAAACCCCTTAATCCCCTAACACTCCTAAAACTCCCAAAAACCCCGAAAACCCTAAACCCCTAAAACTCCTAACAAACCACCCGAAAACCCCCTAAAAACCCCCTAAACCTCCTAAGCTCTCTCCAGAGAGCCACTTTTGGCCTCGGCATCCCTCCGATGCTGCGCCGCCTGGGCCTGGCACCAAAGGAGACTTTGGTGCGTTTAGGGCTTAGAGTTTAGGGTTTAGGGTTTGGGGTTTAGGGTTTAGGGTTTAGGGTTTTGGTATTAGGGTTTTAGGGTTTAAGCTTTAGGGCTTTGGGTTTGGGGTTTAAGGTTCTTGAAGTGCCACAAAGGGATCCATAAAGGGATCAATAAGGGCTCCATACTCTAAAGGGCTGTCGGGGTTTGGGCTTAGAGGTTTAACGGCTTTAGATGACTTAGACTTAGGGTTTCAAGGGAGTTTTAGGGCTTTGGGGCTTAGGGCTCAGGGTTTAGGGTTTAGGCTTTAAGGTTTAGGGTTTAGGGTTTAGGGTCTCGGGTTTAGGGTTTAGAGTCTAGGGTCGTCTTTAGGCTTTAAAGGGCTTTGGCTTTCCAGCCGTTTTATGGTTTTTGCGGGAGTTCCACTAAGCCCTAAACTTGGGCGAATCCAAAACCTACAC